TCGCCAATATCGCTGTTATTATCATCAATATCATACTGTTTGAAATTCGATCATGTATTAGGATAGATAGGTCTTACTCGTGGAAGTAGTGGGTTTAATCATTATCTAGAAGGAGAGGGAGGAAAGGTACACAAACGGAAAATTTGACAGTGTCGTACCTTATAGAAGGGCTTATATATTGTTAATTACTATTGTTATGGAATTCTTAAAGCCTACCCTGTGTACGCTCGACCTTCGCATTGCAACCGATTCGTGCTCGAGGCGACGGAATGTTCTGGGAATGCCGCTGAGGCTCGAGAAACGGGTAGAGCGGGCGAAGTGTGCCGTTGAGTCAGAGCTGGAATGTTCGAGACGACCGTCTGGAAACTTCTAGTAGGAGTTGGACTTAATATAAATAGCCGATGTATCAGCGCCGAGTTTAGTTTAATACAGAACATTGTATTGAAAAGTTAAAGTGTAAGAAATAAATTAGAATTGTTAGTGTCTAAGTGTTATATAAATTAAATAGTACGTCTGAAATAAATTGTAAATAGTGTGTTTTTAAATAAATAAAGTAAAAATAAATAAGACTTTCGTCACATTGGTGTCAGAAGTGGGATTATAAATAAATATTGGACAATAATGGCTAAAAGACTGTGTGATTTAAAAGTGACCGAACTACGTCGGAAGTTAGAAGATCGTGAGTTGGAGACGATAGGGAAGAAAGCAGAACTGGCAGAGCGGCTTAAAGAAGAATTAATAAGTGAAGGTTTGGATCCGGAAACGTACCTTTTTTCGGATGATGCATCTTCTATAATTTCTTCGTTAGAAACTCAAATATCAACTATAAAAATCGATATTTCTTCTGATGTTTCCTCTATTAAAACTGATATTTCTTCCTTAGAAGAAAAGGTGTCTTCTGATATGTCGTCCGTGACAAACGAAATTTCTTCCTTAGACGGTAAAGTTTCTTCCTTAGAAAACAAGGTATCTTTCGACATATCTTCTTTAAAAACAGAAATTTCTTCCGACTTGGAAAACAAGATGTTTTCTCTGAAAAATAAAATCTCTGCTGATGTGGAAAACAAGATGTCTTCCGTTGAGGAGAAAATAATGTCTTTCGTCGAGGAGAAAATAAAACAGATGGAAAAGAAGATAGAAGAACTGGAACATACAGCACCGGCCAAAAATGGTGAAATAAAGTGCCATGAGGTAGAGTTGAAGTTGAAATTGGAAGGAGCTGTAAACTCTGCCCCAACCTTCGATGGAAATATGTCATGGACCAACTACCTTAAATAGTTTAAGACAGCTGTGAGAGCAAACGAATGGTCTGAGAGAGAAAAGGCAGTGAATCTGACAATCGCCCTTCGAGGAGACGCTTTAGATGTTCTTCAGACTATACCCGTGGAAGAGACAGATACTTTTAAACAACTGAAAAAGAGACTTAACATGCGATATAGCCACGAACATTTGGAGCATCTATACCAGTCACAGTTAAAGAATCGCAAACAGAAACGAGACGAGACCCTTCAAGAATATGAAGTAGATATTTCCAGATTGGTGCGATTTGCCTACTCATCAGCTCCGGAAAACATGATGGAATGTTTAGCAGTTCAAACATTTGTTGATGGACTCCGTGACCACGAGATGTAGAAAACACTTCGCTTAGCCCGCCACAAAACATTGGTCGATGTCTTGTCCGCTGCTTTAGAGTGTGAGGCAGCTACACAGGCTTCTGGAGGATACAGTAAAGTGAGAACTGTAAAAGAAGAAAACTAGTTAACATAATGAAGACCTTTACTGATAAAAAGATAAAGACAAAGACTATCAGATGCTGCAATTGCGGTGAACTGGGACATGTACGCAGTTCGTGCAAACGCCCTAGGGTCCCAACAACTGAAGACAACACGACGCAGGAAAGCTAGATCGGGTCGGCCTGAAGGGGCAGCTTCGACCCAAAACCGTTCCAAAGATCCTCTCATACTGATAGGCTCTTTGAAATGTCGCGATGATAGTGTATACGTAGACGGCAAAGTAAATGGCAAAAAGTATACACTGTTGGTGGATACTGGAGCAACTAGGACTATTATACGACCAACAACTATAAATAACCATAAGAGACAAGTTTGCGACAGCGGACTGCCACAGGTGAAAGTGTCGACATCCATGGGGAAATCCAGGTTCAATTGGGAATTGGTACAGAAAAGTTCACTCATACTGTTATTGTCGCTGATATCGAAGAAGATGATATTTTTGGAATGGATGTAATGAACTTACATGGTTTTTATTATATATATATAATAATATTATTTTTAATATAAAAATCATAACCTGATATGTATTTAAAAATATTCTCAAAATGTAAAGAAAAGTCAATTAACTAATAATGTAGAGCTTGAAAACAATAAAATATTGATGATGATAATAACTATATTTGTACAAAGTTTTGAATCGAACTTACAAATAATAATTATTGGAAAGAATGAGCACCCGTTTTAAATTATTACAAGCCGCCACTCTCCAGGACATCGTGTTTTTACCCTCTTGGTGTTTTGCAATGCATTAGTTCTTCCATTTCTGCTAGAGTACTGTTTATAACATGAATTACATAAATGACTAAACTGAAAACTGACAGTTCGTCACTATTTCGTTACCCCACTCTATTACTCATTATACATTCCAGGAAACTGTGATCTATCAACAAGTAATGTTTACCAAAACCTATAGTATACTGCTTTGAGTAGAAATCATGTATATCTGCGATGTAGTACACAACGATTGGAACGTAACAGTGTCTTGTGGTCACATATGGTAGAGTACGATTCAACTTAGAAAAAGCCACGGGCGTCATTAACTAGTCATCGTCTGCCTCACTTTAAAATATTCCTTCTCCGTTGCTCCAGATCGATATACCAGTAGCGTAGGCTCTTATTTAAATAAGAATTAAAGCAGTTTCCCAACAAAAAACATTTTTTGGATTAAAAAGTTAAATTTTAATGATTTAAACATTTGTATATTACCTAAATAACTAAACTAAAATAAAATTACATATATTTTTCGACTTTAGACTTGCAAAACATTCAGTGGGAAGTAAATAAAAATAGCAACACAATTTTGTAATTTAAGATTTTTATTACAATTAAAATAATAGTTATTTATGCAACTAGTACAAAAAGTGAAACTAGAGGAGTACATCCTAGTTCGTCCGTTGATGAACTATTATACTCTGTTTTTAAACTAAGAGAAGCGATTTGAATTTAAGTTGACAGAATTGCCTTCTGATTGGTCAGATTACAGTCAGTTTCACACATTACTTTTTAGCATGAACATCAGCTAATAATTGATATTGTTGACAGTTCTGACATTTTATAATTTGATATCTCATCCATTACTTAGTTTTTTACTTTATTTCGTAAATAATAGTTCTTCAGTAAGCAATTGTATTGAAAATCTACAATTATGGATCCTTCTACACTGAGTACTATTAAAGGTAGCAATTCCTGAAAAGCCTTACAAGAAAGGGAAGTCACCTTATTATTTTACATGCTGATTCTGAAGGTTTTGTTGAAAATGCATTATTGGTTTTTGAAGGTAAAAAGATGGGAGATTATCATGAAGAGATGAATTCCGAAGTATTTTAAAACTAAAAATTGATGAATTTCTAACCAAAATGATTAAAATGTAACTAAATATTCAAGCAAATTTTATTCATTAGAACAGAATAAAACTATTTACAAAATTGTTATAACATTTAAAACACCATCTACTACTTTAGGGACAATCTTAATTTGGCACAATGAGTTAACATTACATTCACAAAAAATATTTTAAAAATACTTAAAATTAATACATAGGTATGTGTGAATAGTTCACTTTAAAAAATATATGTTGACATGTAGTGTTATGAAAATGTTGGTTCCAGTTTTCAAAACAAATTCTGACTCATAGGCCTGTAAACTTTTGAATGCCTTTATTTGCCCTCTAGCGCATTAACCATGGGTTAACACTAAATAAGCCATAATATCCACATTACTCATAGAAGAGATACCAGTTACTGTGTGATCCACTTGTCATTCACTGATTAACTTTTACTTTTTATACCTATAACAAATATATCCTTAAAAATGTAAACATATCTTTATATTTTATACTAACCTGGCTACATCTGGATATTCCATTAACAATTTTCTTAAATATTTAATATCCATTTTAAAAAGATCATAGTTATTCTCAAAAAGTCGATTTCAAAAGCAAGAAAAAAGTATTTCAATCAACAACCATATTGACTTTAATTTGACAGTGACTTTCGTTTTAGACACACATTTCAGATCACAATAATGTGAAATTTGCGACCGTTGTCTGGGACCAATTAAAAAATTACTTCTATGACATTTATTCGTTTCTTAACCGCTCATTGGCCCGTTTACCGACTAAGGCCGATAAAGATAATTATTTCATAAATTTTGATACCTGTTTTTCGAAACTCGCTCTTAGTAACAAATCTAGTTACTTTTCCCTGTGTAAATGCGTCTTTTCAATTCGCTCCTCCTATTTTGGACCATGCGGCAGTCGTACAGCGTTGCCAAATTATTAAGCAATTGTATCTCTATATTAGAAAAACGAAAAAAATCGCCAAAACGCAACTGACGCTTAAATAGGATGGACCTGAGAGAGAGGCAAATTATTGCGGCCTTTGTCAGGTATGATGTGTGTGGCTTTTTCTTAGTTGAATCGTACTCTACACATAGTTTAAATGATAATCTCATGGTGTCCAAAAAAATGGGGGCTAAAGTGTTAAAATTTTATCCGATGACGTCATATCTTGATAAATATGATTGATGACGAAAATCCCAAAGCGTCATTAAATGGTGCATAAAATGAACAAAAAAATGTGCATGGGTAAATTTTCAATACAATCTATAATTGAGTCACAAATCGGTTATTCCGCCCAACCCTGTATATCATCATACGACTTACATTGAGCTGATTTTTTTTAAATAAATTAATAAATAACGTTTGTTAAAATTTATGTTTTTATTTGTCTTACATTTGAAAGATAATTCATAGGTTTTTTTTATATACTATGAAAAAAATATATTTCCTTCTGAATCGGCATGAATAGAATCTATCCATATATTTTTGATTAAAAAAATTACTAAGGCAACTCTACTGGAATCTGATAAGAGTTTTCTATTTTTCTGAGAACATTTTCTAAATTTTCCAACAAACCGTCAATCGAATTTTGATGAATTCCAATACATGCTGATATAACGTCATATAAAAGTTCTAATTGGGCAACCGCCATGTTTTTAGAGGTTACCAGCGATGCATGTTTCCATAGATTATAAATTCTTTCCCTATACATATCGTCGGTATTTTTCTTTGAAGAAGAACACATTTTAAAAGCATTAATCGAGTCATCTTTTGCCTTGTCGTCGAGTAAAAGTTTTTCAAACCTTACATTATTAGAGCTGAGGTTCGCTAGATTCCTTTTATTCAAAAGATCGGATAGCACTCTTGTAAAATATTGTTTGTTTCTTAGGGATTCGCAAGAGGTGGTAGTATAAAGTGATTCTCGGTCATTTTCACGTTTTATTTTCCGATCTATATTGAAAATACTAGTATCACTGGTTGATTTATTCATTCTGTATTCGCACGTTTTCATTTTCTTTATTATAGTATGAACTGAAGGTTCTCTTTTTCTTTTACATCTTGGGGATGTTTCAGATCTGGTTAATATTTCTGACATGTCCAAACCTAAACGTTCATATTCCAATTCAATGTTGTCTTTTTTCTTCTTTCGTCGACCTCCATCGGTAAAACTGTCATCTGCTTCATACTTTATTAGTTTTCTACCAGATTTCTTCAATCTATCCCACACGAAAAACAAACTTAAGTTACTTTCATCGAAAAATAGTGGTGCTAAGAATTCTTCCCGTTCGGTGTCATTAGGATTGTCGACTCTTATTAGAATAGTGCTGTTATTGTAAAAAAAATTATGAAGCATTACAGGAACATCAACATTACAAGATGCAATCGTTAATATGGGTAAACCTGCATGAATGTCTTCTAAAGTTGACACAACATTATGTTGATCGCACTCATCAATATTATCCCACCATTCGTCTATCCTAGATAAGACGATGACTGCTGGGAATTGTACCGAAATGTTTCCAAAATTATGCTTAACTTTATTAAACAATCTGGTATCGTATACAAAAGTTGGAATATGTTCTAAATTTTTTAAAACAGACGGTATCAAATGCGTATTTAAACCTTGCATATTTGTCCCAACCAATAAAATTCTTCCTGCGTAACGCTGTTCACCAAAAGCAAACTTATAGCCTTCTTGAAGAAAATGAGGCCATAGTAAATTAATGTATTTAATTATTCTCTCGTGTTGCCTTACTAACAGGGGTTTAACAATGTTGCTAAGATTTCGCATAGCGAGTCCCTGCTTAATCGAAGATGGTACTAAATTGATTCTCGCTTCAAGAAAATCGCATTCGTCTACTCTAAGGGAATCTGCGTCAATTCTAGTATTAAAGCCTCTACTGTCGATATTAGGATAAGCTCTTCTTAAACAAGCTAAAACTGCTTCTGAACAGAGCGCTTGAAGATCCGCTCCACAAAAACCTGGTGTCATATCTGCTAATTCGCACAAAAAGTTATAACTTGGTTTGTGTTTCCAATTATTGATGTGCACTTGTAAAATTTCTGTTCTTGCTTCAGTACCGGGTAGTGGGAAATAAAGTTCTTTATCAAAACGACCTTTACGGCGAAGAGCTGGGTCAATAGCTTCTATACGATTGGTAGCTCCAATAACTATAACACCTGGTTTTGAATCTAAACCATCAATTAAAGATAGTAACGTCGCTACTACACTGGAATGAATATGGTCATTTTTTTCTGATCTGATTGGAGCCAAACCATCCAATTCATCAAAAAATATTATAGAAGGTCTGCATTTTGTAGCTTTTTCAAATAGAGCTCTTAAATTCTTTTCAGATTCTCCCACCCATTTATCTAAAATATCTGCTCCCTTCCTTTGAAAAAAATTCACTTTTCCAATACCTTCTTTGTTTAGTTCAGACACCAAAGCCCCAGCTACTAAAGTTTTACCAGTACCTGGTGGGCCATAGAATAAAACTCCTCGTGGTGCTTTAATTTTGAAATGTGTAAAAACATTACCATGTAGTAGTGGAAATATAATTACTTCTCTTAACGTCTTCAGGTGGTGACTTAGACCTCCGACCCTGGAGAAATCTATCACTTCCTTTGATGATCTTGGTTTTCGTAATACTCGATTTTCTTTGGTTTGATTCAATAGAGACATCTTAGCATACAAAAATTTGTGATTAACCTAAGTTTGTAAATTGAGATGACATATGTCATGTTTATAATTGACTATATAGATTTTTAGAGCATATAAGACTAGGCTTAGACTAGGTAATTACCTAGTCTAAGAAGACTAGAGATATCATTCAATGTATTTTGTTATGTATAAGTGGGGTCACGATACACAGACTCAGAGCTCTTTCACACGGGGATACTGTATGCCAGATACGCGTATCCGAGATACAGAATCGCGGTCGAAAAGTTGGGCTGCTGTATCGAATTCACGCATTTCTACAATCAGTACTAAAATGGTCACAGTGGCGTGCCTAGGTTTGAATTAAGGATCTAGAAAAATGCATTATACTGAGGTATATAATACAGTGATCCACATAAAATGCACATCGTATAGGCTTTTTTTGTAAATGCTGTAGATAAATTTTGACTTTGCCATCTTCTATTGCCTTAAAAATGATAACGAATTACATGCAAATGAACATACACGTGACCTTTTTGAATGTCTAAAATGACATTTTTTTCTAAAAATTGCAAAAATGGCAATTTCGAAAAATTGTTTAACAAAAAGTTGCTTATTTTATAATTGTTTACCCATATGGTGTCAAGTTTTTATTTTCTAGCAATTCAGTTTTGGTTTACTGGAGTTTAGTTGTATAAAATATTTTTTAATAAAACATTTAAAAAAAGCGCATCGCGTAAACAGATTAATGTATGCAGGTTAGCGTAAATTCTAGTAACCTTAAAATGAATTGGTATAGAAAACATAAAAAAAAAGTTAAAAATTGGTATATGGGTAAAAAATAAGTAACTTTTAGGCATAGGTTTTTGCTTTTTTGACATTTACAAAAGTCACGTGATTTTCCATTTGCATGTTATTGGTTATCATTTTTGAAGCAACAAAAAATGGCAAAGTCAAAATGTATCTACATCATTTAGAAAGAAAAATCCCATACGATGCGCACTTTATGTGTAACACTGTATATTATGAAAAAGTAATACGTGTGATATTTTCAATATAGATAGGGTAGGAGATGAAATAATATTCCAATTAATACAGTCAAAACTCATAAATCAATTTGGAACCAATTCATGTTGTTTTATCAAGAAAAATGTACGAGTTTGACACGCAAATGTATCTGTAGAGTACATTACTACTAGAAATATAAAAATTTCGTAGTTTAGGCTAATATTTTATTCGTGAAATAATTAAAAATAAACTCTGCGAGGGCATTTGACACCGTCTGGACTGACGGGTTGATACACAAAATGTTTATGAATGACTACCCTGTTTTCATTGTAAAAACAATTTAAAAATACTTACTACATAGAAAATTCCACATTAAAATCAACAATACACGTAAAGGACCTTAAACTGCGCTGGCGGGGGTACCTCAAGGCTCGGTACTTGCGCCTCACCTGTATACCATTATGACCCATGATTTACCAATGGGACAAAATGGTATACAGACGGCCCTGTACGCCGACGACACCTGCATCTTTAAAACATCAGAAACTGCCGAAGTCGCGACCAGAAGGCTGGACATACATGTTAACAGAACGTTAGTCCCCTATCTTGAACAAAACAAAATCAAAATCAACGCTGGGAAGACAGAAAGTCTTATTTTGTCCCATAAGCAGGACAAAATAATAAACAAATTAAAAGTTCAGGAACAAATAATTGAAACCAAAAATGATATGAAATACTTTTATTCTCGATAGGAGACTAACGTTCAAGAAACATATATTGGACCGAGTAAGTAAAGCTACAGGAGCTCTAAAAGCGCTGTACCCCCTTTCACATAGAAGAAGTGGAGTTATTTCTACAAACAAACTGCTAATTTACAAACAAATACTCAGGCCAATACTAACATACGGATGTCCAGTCTGTTGTTCGATGGCGGATACACACTTCAAAAAATTACAAATTACGCAGAACAGGTGTCTTAGGTTGGCATTGGGGTATGACCGCTATGGCAGAATACGAAACATGCACTTGCAAACAGCTTTAGAACCCATAAAAGAACACATCCTCAGACTTTCTGAATCATTTTACCGCAAGTGTTTACCTAACACACTCAAGGAGGACATTTTTTCCATGTTCGAAGGAGATGACGCAAGCAGGACCATGGCTGTTTGCATAAAGCACTTAAAATCTACAAACGAGACTAAATACAGCCTTCAGCTCCAGACAGGACGTGGACTGGGCGCTGCTACTAACTGACTCATTACACTGAATAGACCTTTTCATCACAATTTTTTTTTGTGCACATGCGTCAGTTTCAGCCATCTTTTTCGTACTGTTTTTATAAACAAGTATGTTAAAATGCTTACGTGAAAAAAATTATAATTGATAAATATTAATTTAAGTCTATATTCATTTAAAAAAAGTAAAGTAATAATAAGTTTAGTGTCTTAATTGAAAAATACATTTTCACAATCAATTATAATTATGTTATCTGTACGGAAAGGAACAACGAAACGGTGTTGTTATGTAAAAGTGACACACGGTATAAATCATTCAAAGGCAATAGATATTATTTTATAAATTTTCCAAAGCCTTAACTGCAATATCGTAAACAATTATCAGGCAAAATCCATATTAAAAGATATTCGAAATGTGCATTAAGTGTGAAAAAATATGGTCGAAGTGACAACGGTTTTCGATGGATTAATGATGTTACTAAAGATACTTATATTTCACTGCATTTTCATGGAGAAAGTGGTCCAACAGAAGAAAATTCTCATGTGTTATTAAACAATATTTTTTTAATATTAAATACTACTTCGGTATACACATTAAATGATTAAAAATGTCATGTTGATCCTCAAAATAATAAATAATTTATTTTATTAATTATACTCGTGATTAACTTTCATGCTAATTAAAGTGTTTTTGCAAGTAGTAATAGTTGGTTGGCATAATTAATTAGAATAAAGTTATAATTATTATTTGTTTTCATTAATTTTTTACAGAGTTAAAAAGTATTGATACACCTAACCTCTCAATTAGTCCACTTTGTTCCTTTGTAACTAACATCCAAGACACTTCAACCTCCTTTTCAACTGCTCACAACTATGCGCTTCCACAGAGTTATAAAAAAGTTATTCACTATCAAAGATTTTTTCTAATGATTAATTTTTCTGTAGAGATAACATTGCTTTCCCAGCCATTGTCGATCAAAACAGTACGAAACTTTTGAATTACCGCTATTTCAACATGGTGGCTGCGCTTGCGCTCATCACATGATGAAAAGGTCTATTCTGAATTGCCAAATCACGAAGTCGGCTAGCAATGAACTCTAGTCGGACGGAAGACTGCACGGTGACGTCATCGCTCGGTGCAAAAATTCGTGGCCTACCTTTAAATAAAGATTTTGAAAGTAAAAGTAGTGGCCTACCTCGAATTCTGTACCGAGCGGGGATGCTATCGTGGGGTCTAGGGATTTGGTATTCTCACGTACGTAAATTAACAAGTGACATACACACATACAAGGACAACCCTGTTTTTTCTTATTGGTTTTCAGGGAAGACAGACAAAATTAAAGTCAGACAAAAACCTAATTATTTACTATTACCGATCTAGTTAGCCTATCAAAATTAACTTATAATGCTGTACAGCAAGGAGATGTTATATACTACCAAAATTCAAATAAATAACATATTAGCACACGGCATGACATCGGCCAAGGCTCTGTTTGGGGTCATCGCGGCATAGGAACACTTCCAGGATGCCCAGGAAGAAATCCACCCGCGATCATTTTTATTTATATTGTTAATATAATAATGTATTTATTGTTAATATTGTTATTTAAAACTTGTACATACTGTCACGTTATGCGTGATTTTATAAAGAAATGTCACGATTTACGTGTTTTAAATAATTGTGGGACTATCTATGTCCTGGGGGTTACATAACAAAATATATGAATTTGGGACTCAATCACATTAACACTATTTAGCCTTAAACTTGGCTTCGTAGCCCTTAACTGTATAAGGGTTCTACTCTTGATGTTAGAACCTGACACGTCTCTGTAAAAGGGCTGAAGGAAACACAATGTTTTCTCAAAACAAATATAATATTAAAATTACAACGATTATACAAAATATGTCTTAACTCGACATACACAAATACGGGCTCAATTTAATAATAAGTAATAATAAGTACACAATACATGAAACGTAGACTTACCAACTCATCAATATTTGGGGCACACGTCACAACTCTTGCCCGACTATTAAAACGCAATTTTTCGACATACAAAATAGACTTTTAAATTAGACTATGAAGGTCTCCTACAAGTGGGACCTCCTATGGGAAGGATCCGTTCCCTGTGGAAAAAAGCTTCGTGCATCCCCTCGACATTACCTTTATAACTTTCTCATCGTTTATTGTTATTAAAACTAATGTTTAATAATTATTAAATAACCAACCTTGCACATTATTGCTATTTAAAACAAATTGTTGACATAATTAAACAAAGTGTTATGTACAGGATGTTATTTAAATAATTAATTAAAATTAGGAAAAATATGAATTTATACGAATCGTGACAATACTGTAAATATTGAATAAAGATTTTGAAAGTAAGTAAGTAGGTAGCTTTTTGCCTCCCTACGTAATATTTAAAGGTAAAAATAAAAAAAAAGGAGTTTGAAGGTAACATGCTTCCTGGATCGGTAGTAGTGTCTCCAAAATTCGCCTATGTGAAAACCAGTATCTTCTCATCATGGATTAAAGATAATTTTTTGCCTCGTAAAGGACCAGGCCCTCCAGTACTAATATTAGATGTCATGCTTCACATTGTAATGACGTGGAAGTTTTGTACTTTTTGGCTGAAAATGAAATTCATGTGATTTGCTTACCTAGTCATACGACTCACTGGCTTCAGCCTCTCAACTGTTCATTTTTCAAACCTTTAAAGACCTACTGGAATAGCGTTTGTAATCAGTGGATAAGAAATCATCCAGGACGTCGAATAACTTAGTAATTTGGTTTAAATAAATAAGTTTGAAAGAGAGAGATTTCTTTGTTTCTTGTGCTTTACAGGTATCAATTTGGGGAACTATTAAACCAAGCGTGGTCTCAAGCCGCAACGGTTCAGAATTGGGTTT